AAATCTATAAACTAACTAAAAATATATTAACAAAGTAGATTATAAATAATAGGATAGCTTTTTGAAATTTTGAGAAGTGTAAAAGCTACTTTTTAGAAAGTTGAAAAAGTGGGGCCCGGCGCGTGTTGAACAAAGCTTTCAAACTATTTGGTTTATATTGCCACGTAAGCCGAAAAGTGGTAAAAAATTAATTAAAAAATAAGTTCGGGGGGTAATAGGACCTTAGTAAAGGTTAGGTGTGTCTCAGGGATTTTGGGCATAGGCTGAGGGGTACTTATGCATTTTCCCTTTTCTTATTTCAAATGCTCACAATCAACCAAAAAAACACAAAAATAAATTGAATATTCATTCTTGACTTGACGAATTTGATGTGGGAATAGTAATGATTGACCAATTTAGATGTCTCATCAGAATTTTTTCCGAACAGTGAACCTAATTAATTGAACAACTTCGCAATCTTTGCGATGAATTTCTATCCCGCAATGTTGTTTTCTATTTTTTTCTTGAAAATTTATCATGAAAAAAAATTATTTTTCACATTAGCCATACCAAAAAGAGTGTTTGTGAATTGTGATAAGAAAAAAATGGAGGAAGAAGAAAGGTAGGGTAACGTGAAGGAGAAGGATGGGGGTGGGAAAAAAATTGCCTTTTTTTTTTACTCAAACGCGCCTTCTTTATTTTTTATTTAATCTTATTCATGTAAGCTTTGAGGGTGGTGTTAAATTCACTTTTAAGTAATATAGGTGTGTAATAGGTCGCCTCAATAATTTAAACGTGTAACTGACTTTTCGATACAACTTCAGAGGTGAATTTATACCTTTTCTCAAAATTTCTTATTAGTTGAATAGTGCTCTATGGACAAAATGATCTTTCCCTCTTATGAAATCCTTCAAATTATTTTGTTGGACTCTAATACTGATTTTTATCATGATCATAGTTTTAAAACAAAGAATAAATTTCTATATTTGTAAATCTCTAAAGAGGTGAGTCTTATCAATGTCCAAATTAAGACTGATGAAAACTGTTTTTTTTTAAAATTATTATTATACATAAGGGAAGGAGAAGGAAGCGAACTATAACCAACAATGTGAAAATACAAGTAATCAACCAATTGAACTACTAAAATTTCCACGATCGATGCATACAACCCTTATAAAAAGAAGGAAGTAGGTAAATACAGGAAAGGAGTACAACTCCAGAAAAATGAAATGAAATGAAATGTAACAAATAGAACCTTAGCTACATATATTAAGTCAACCAACATGCAGTCCAATGATAAACCTAAATACAACCTAGATGGACTGATGCACACAATGTTTTTGCAAGTAGGTTATGTAACTCGTTCAGACACATAGCTGATATTCCAAGTTTGCCAATAAATATGTAGAAAAAATGTAACAACAGATGAAAAAATGCTTTCAAATAAATCTCATTCTCCTCTTTGAAAGGAATTGTCGGTTCTTGGCTGATTTAGATTGTGGTAGCGTTCCAAACACGTTGTCCCAGAAAGAGGAAGTGATACCAAAACCTTCGGTCTGGATGCGAAAATGATGATTCAAATGATATCTCTGCCAAATAAAACATAGCAAAAGATCTTAGGGTTAACATCATTTTATCTTTATAAGTATTTCCTACAAACTAAAACTGAAGCATTATCATATAATTTGCAACACTATTGAACATGAATGAAGAAGCCAAAATAGATCTAAAAATCAGTCAGGTAAGCCTTTTGTTAGACAGATACCTCATGATACCAGCAGATATCTCAAAAACTAAACACATAATCATATAAAATCATAAGGTTTACCTGATGAAGCTAGTGGTATACCAGTAGGGGTGGCAAATGGGCGGTTATGGGTTGAAGTTGGGCGGGTCAACATGGGAAGAGTTAATAGATGGATTAATGGGTCAGTCACAGTTTCACACAAATGCCCCTATTTTGGGGTGGTCCTTAATATTTATCCTTCAGCACTTTAAGTACAAAATGAGTGGACGAAAATACTCATGACATCGAAATGACAAACTTTTCATAGGACATAAGTTTATATTTTCGTATCATAATATCCCACAAATAATGCCGTAAGGCTGAACAAGTTATGTCGTAAGCCATAATTATACCATACTCAGCAACGTAAATTTGTAAAAAAAAAAAAAACATAAGTTGTGTAGTATTACCAGAATTCGTTGTAGTGTTCACCAACTGTAGTTATGTTTTTTTGGGGCATATGTCCTTTCTCCGTTTTAGAGAAAAAAATACATGAATGAACAAAAATTGCATGAATTTGCCTTAAAATAGACTGATTTTTAATTTTTGCCCTTTTAACAAAAGAACTTGGGTCTAGTTGGGCATAAGTCTTTAGAAACCGAAGTCATGTGGGGCATAACTTGGGATACTTATGCCCTGCGAAAATGTATGGGTGCTTTTCAAAACTCCACTGGAATCTCATAACAGCCCAATCAACCACTCCAGACCTGCCCTGCCGGTGCTTTTCAAAACTCCACTGGAATCTCATCTAGCCCGGTCACTTTTCCCCTGCTCATCCTACGAATAGCACTGTTAACCTCCTCAATCTTGTAATTGAAGGAAGACTCAAGTATTCTTAACAAAACATTTACAGTCTTTAGAAATACTTGTGTCTCACTCTTTTGTGTTGGACATTTTTACCTTCAATTTCAATTTTCGGAAAAGAAAGTATATTTGGATTTATTCTATTTAAAATTTTAAATGAAAAGAATGTAATAAAGTGTCTACTAAATTGTACAGTTATTATACAATGAATGATACAGGATTCATACATGGACAAACTCTAACTCTTGCTTTCACCATTTGATATATTATTTTATTCATTTCATTCTTTCAAAGAGGGCATTAAGATTTTATATACAAGGATGGACTCCCTTTTTACCGGCTCATTCGCTTACTAATCAAGCAATATTGTTCATGATACAGTAATTGTTAAAATTCTTCACGGGTTGCATTTCTGCCACCCTATAAGGGGCTAGGCTCATCAGAATATTACTAAGATAATATTAGAGGGGTGCCTCATGTATAGACACTTACTTTGAGATTTCTTGGTACTTCACTTGTTGGTTGTGCATGATGCAAGTAGTAGTGAGTTACATCATACATGACATAGCCCAGTAAACCGCCTCCAAATAAAGCAGGAGCAGTTGAGGGAGTCGACATGAGTTTGATTAAATTCCAGAACTGTAATCACAAACATAGTATCATAAGCTCCGGGAAATGTTAATAGTAATAGCTACTAGCAAATAAACAAATAGGCAATCAATTTAATGATCACCACAGTTAACATATCACAGCAATACACGATTTTCAACTTGGCAATCTTTTGTTCTCCCTCCATCTCAAAATAAAATTACCTACTTTGACTAGTGTAGATATTAAGAAGACTGTTCAAATGAGTTATTATACTAGTGTCGAATTGGAAGGTGTTCAATATATGAATAACAAAATTCATGTAGTGTACCTAAGTGTTTCTCCTTGTGTGTATTCTTTGTATTTGAGTTGATACAAAGTTGGGAGAGTGCCCATAATTCTATGCATTGTCTTCAGATTGCTAATCACTGAAAATAATTCTGACCCTAAAACGAAAAGAAAAAGAGAAGGTTGAGTCAATAGGAATGTTGGCTGCTGTACATTGATGTGAATGAAACTTCCCCTGTAGAACTATAATGCAATATACTTCCCATCAAAAGAAACCTCAGGATTTGTAAGTGTTTAGTTTCCTATAGCTGTTATAGACAAGTGATTGAAAAACTCACATCATCAGGGTTAGCAATGAGTCAGTTTCTACTTCAAAATCAACGACTAACCCAAACAAGCTAAGGTGTCTATCGTATTCCTCTATAGGTTTTACAAACCAGCAAGAGATCTCAGTGTCACTGGAAGGGTTCTCTTTTCACTAAATAGCTTTGTAACTTATTGAAACTGGAGATTTTGGCTTTTTGTGTATCGATATAATTATATCCACATACGTTGTGAGGTAAAATTATAGAGAATTTTTCATAATATTTATTTTTATTTTGTACAATGTTGCCCTGAGATGAATTTAAATGGAGAACATGGTTAATGAGGATTTATATAGGCGAACCCCAACTTGTTTGGGATTGAGGCGTAGTTCCACGAGGTATTAGCTAAATATTAACTAAGCTAGTGGTATGAAATCAAACATACCGGAACACAAAGAATAGCTGTTGCAGCAGGAGGAAAAACAAGGCGTAGGCCATCCATGGGATGCTTGTGATGACAACCATGAAGAAGATAATGTGCCGTGTTTCCCCTGTAACAAGTTTCAATGTTGCAATATGTATAAGGGATAGGGCCAGAACTGACAGAACTCCCCCCCGCTGGAGACAGAAGATGTACAAAGATACTTACCAATAGCTCTTTGTCTTTATATGGAAAAGGAATCGATGAAGAGTATATTCCATCAATGTCCACACAAAAATTCCAAAAAGTACAATCGATGCCACCTCGGGAACAGTAACGCCCATCTGGATTGATACTGAGATACTATAGCATACAACTGGGAGCCAAATGACTGGAATCGCCCACCAAACTGTGCGAGTCAGAAACTGTTCCACAAAGAAGAAAATCTCACTACCACTATAGATGGAGCTCCTGTCAAACAGAAGGATATTAGATGGACTCTGGTATGAATATAGGATTCGTGTCTTTGACACAGGTACATTCCACGTCTAGTTTTCTACTTCACTTGAACAATTGTTACAAATGAAAGCATGTAAGTATATCATACTTGTTTATGGGTGTGTGGCATGGCAGATGAAGAGATTGAATAACAACAGCTCTAATAATACATGGGAGTAAAACATGACCCTGTTGAGTTACATGGCAATAAGGATTAAATAAGCAATACCTCCCAAAAATCACTTTCAAAAAATCGAGGTCCTTCCTTGTTAACTATAGGCTGGTGAACCCACTCTTGATAAGCTTCTCCAAGGTGGCCAACCTGAGAACATACTCCAGAAGTCAAAAGGAAAAATGAGTAGATATTCTATTGGTATGAGTTAGCTGAAAAAAGTTAATTTCTATTTAGTTTCCAGTGAGGAAACCAATAAGGGCTAGGGGTTAAAGAATTATGTTTGACATGACCAAGAGAAGGTGAAAACAATGATCACTAGAATAGATCTTTTATGAAAACAACGTCAGGAAAATAATCCTTCTCCTCTTTGTACATCTTTTTTATTTCTGCTATCATTTTTTTTTTAATTTTGGGTTCTTAGGCAAGTATAACAAACAAATGAATTTAGACACCTACAGATAGATATATTGTAACAATTGGGAGAAGGTGTTCACCTTATGAACTCAAATTACAAAATGATCTTTTATTAGACAAATGCAAACAGATTTAGACCATCGAAGCAGATGAGCATGAGGAGAAAGAAACTACAAGATTACCTTCAGGAATGATACCCTGATGGCAGCATTGATTATAGTTTACTTGACAGATCTTCTAAATACGTAGAGTTGCAGTTTCTACCTGGAAGACAAGAGCTTTATCTAGATCCACTGTGAAGCCCTGTGCAACCATCCTGGGACTTTGTAGCTAGTTGATAGCACACAAACAAGGATACAGCAAGTGATTGATGATAGGGAAGAATCAAGAAAAAATATACTGCAAAGAGACGATGAGAAGTTCCACCTAAAGTTGAGTACATTAAAGTTACTTTTTTGATTGAGACAGTATAGGAGAAAATAGAAACTACTCTAAATAAGATAAGAAAACACAAGGGATAAGGCATAAAAATGCACCTAAACTATGGCGAAATCACCAACTACACACCCTGAACTTATTTTTCCTGTATTATTTACCCATTCACAAATCACCTACTAAAGAAAAAAAGTTAAAACACAACATGTGTAAACACACGCTTATTCAAAACTAAAAAAAGAGATGTCTTTATTCATTTGATTCTTTCAAACTCAACAACCAGGCCCTCATCCTCTCTCAAACCATTTGCTCTCCTTTCACTGTTTCAACAAAATTACAATTGCAAATAAAGAAGTAAGCTTGAGTGCACACAAAAAGGCAATGAAGAGCAACAATTTGATCAAGTGATTCGGAAAAGAAAAAAGGAGTCCCAGTTAAGTTTGGGCATAAATGTTAAGGTAAGAATTTTGACTTCGTTGAATCTAAACACATATTGGCCCAAAAATAAAGTTTAAATAAGTTTGAAAATAGCAGAAAACAAGGATATTCTGAAAGTGCACCAGGGTGTGGCCTAATGGTAATGAAGTGGGAGAAGAACCACAAGGTGTCGTTCAAATCCCAACATAGGCAAAGAAATATGCCTAAGCCTTGGTCGACAGAGTTAGCCAACACCTGTGTTGGGTGGGAGGTAGGCATCCGGCAAAATAGTCGAGGTGTGCGCAAACTGGCTAGAAGACTACCATCATCAAAAGCAATAATGAGATGGCAGTAATGCAAATCTCGATTGAAGCGAAATGGTTGTTTTTCTATATCGTTATAATAACAGTATAATGGCAGAGTGAAAAACACAGTCATAAGATTAAAAAATGTAATTTATTCGTGCTTTCATGTAGCCTTTTTGACAGCTACAACCACAATACATAAAATACTCAATATAGCTTCTTCATTAGAGTTAGTACTGAGAGCAATTTATAAGTCCATTGGAAAGTGGAAACCATGAATCATATTAGGACTAGATTATGATTTAGGTAATATCACTTTTCCTAATTATCAACAAAAAGCAGCTTAAGACATGTATATGTGAATTTGGAGAAGAGAAGACAAAAATAATTGCTTATCAAAACCATTATACACCTAGTTTAAAATGAATTTCAATCTAAAGGTTGTCTTATGGTTCACTCAATCATATAGCAGGAACTAAAAAGTAGCTCTGAAATTGAACTTATTTAGACAATCATTTTTCCATTATCATTACACTGGTTTGAATCATTAAGCTTGTTTAAACATTACAGACTGCCTAATGCTTCAAAAGTAAAAAGGAGCCAAATTTCAACAAAATCTGAACTTTGTTCCAAAAGCTAATGTAAAAATTCACTTAGTATAAGTTTAAAAATCATATCTTTCAAGCAAATCCAGAATGTACTTTGATCCAGATGTACTTTCACAAAGAGCAAAGAGAAAACTTACCCAGTAGGATTTTAGATGTGAGATTCCACTGTAGTTAAAGCACAAACTGCTTCACTATATAACCAGATGTTTTATTTTTATATATTAGGAAGAGAATATACTTTTTTTGTGATTAAGATGGTAAGATGTAGATCACTGAGATTCTCACGTGAACCTTGTCAATCTGGAGTTGGGTCCAGCACATTTGGATTAGCCCATACGTGTTTTGGAATTTGACAGACAAGGCTAGGTTACTAGCCCATTATTTTGATGGGTGAGAACACATCATGCTCAATACATCACTATGTGGGCTGCGGGATATGCCAGGTCAATCCACTTTTTTTTTTTTTTTAAAAAAACTAATCTTTTTTTAATCTAAATTCTTATTTTGAAATATTAATATTAATATCCACGAGGATTGGTGAAAAGGATAACGTATTATTCGTTTGTTAATTCAACATGACAAGCATATCATATCACAAACAATTATTTAAATTTAAAACGGGGAAAAATGATCACAGGAGAATTGTTTCAATATCACAAGTATCATATCCTAAGCAACAAAACAAGGGATTTCTTCAAGAACGGAAAAGACTAGGGGTGTGTGCAATTTAAATGGGGCTTCAGCTTGATAGTTAATAATTAACTAGTCCACAATCAATCATAACATGGATAACATTTGACTAACAACTATATTCAGAGTTTTCTCGATCCAATGAATATGTGTGTCTTGGATTTTCCGAACTATAAACCTTGCCATTCAAAAATCCAAACTTTGGCTTGAGTGAGTATAAACTATCTCTACCTTTAATCCTTGAAAGGAAAATTAATCGGATTAGGACTATCTGTACCTCAAATTCAAGGATTAAATTTCAAGTCCTCACTATTGAATTCTTACCCAACTCCACTTCCCAGTGATTAGAGATTTCAATCAATTGGCAATCATCAATTTTTATCTAAACGTCTCAAACACAACAATAAATCCATATATATTAATAATTAATTTTAAGAATATTTAATCACTATCCAATCAAGTTTACACACTCATCATGCACGCACAACCCTAGCAAGAAATTTAGTTACTCATAAATAAGAAATGGAAGATATACCATAATAGCAATACTCTTTTACGTTCATATTCAACACTAGAATTAGATAAAAGCTTGAATGTATCACAAATGGTGTTTTACTTACTACTTGATTCTACAATGTCTAATATTGTTAATATCTCAATTGGAGAAGAAGAGTATAGTACAAAATTACATACATCCCTAAATTGACATTGAAACATTCCAAAGGCAGTTTTTTTGCTCAAGTACAAAATTGCCCTTAAAATCTCATCGGCCTCACTAGCATTGCATATGCGAAACACATATGCACTTGTGCTACACGCAGATGCGTCAACAACTTAATATCATTTTTGTCTAGTAGAGCCTGCACTTGTACCTGCAAAATGTAAGTGCACTTCTGCTACATGAAGGTGCAAGTTGCAATTTCTTCTTCTTTTAAATGTGTTGCACCTATAAAACTCAAGTGCACTTCTGCCAAACATCGGTTGCTTATCAAGTTGTTTAGTGATTTTTCAGCTCAAATCCTTCATTCTTCTCAAGTTCCAAGGAATGTCTGCATGTACGAGAACAAGAGCCTAAAATCTCTTCATTAGCATTAAAACATAATAATAATTCACGCTTAAGAGACAAATAAGTTGTTAAAATACCAATCTATTAAACCTCCAAATTTGAACTATTGTTTGTCCTCAAGCAGAACACTCACAAAGCACAGGATTGACTCGAGATAAACATGACATTAGTAAATTCACAACTAAATAGTATGACTCAAACAAAAAAAAAACAGCAAAACACTCAAAATAAAAGACTATATAAATGGAAGAAGTATTGGTCAAAATTCAAATAATTTTGCTTGTTCACTAATTATTGTAACGTCATCAAAGACACTTTATCCAATACTAAGTGTCAACGATCGTTAAGTAATAATATAATCCAACTATGTGAGTTGGGGTCAAATCCCAAGGGAGTGGTACGTATTTGAGAATCAATAGAAAATCATGAATATGATCAAGTCAATCATAGCTAAAAACATTTACGAATAAAAGCATGGTTCAAATTAGGGGTGACACAAGTGTCAAATATCAGGGGGATTTGATTTCAACAATCAGCTACAACAACAAATAACATGAAAAATAGCAAATATAGAGACAGGTTCTTGGGATGTGATTGGATTATGGGCTAAGGTAGACAATTGGGTAATTGCAATGAATAGTGAATAGCTGTAAATCAGTGAATAAGCTAGACTTTAGTGAGGATAAACTTTCTCTTGAACAATTTACCCCGAATCAAATTGGTTTCTCTTGAACACCAATAAGCAGCAAGTAGGAACAACCTTCGCTTTAGTCCATTCACTCCCTTGAGCTGAATGTGTGGAAAAGGGTTTAGGGTTCACTCTCTCGAGCTGAACCCATGACAACCCAATACCCACAGACCATCAATTCAACAATCTTGGTTTTAAAACCTCTCTCTCGAGCAAGCATAAATACGAAGGTAGAGTTGCATTTGCAACTACAACCCTTTAGATTAAGCCACAATTACTGAATGAAATCACTTTTAAGCAACATTTATACTATCAATTAACAATACCCAACAGCTAAATCAACCATAATCACATAATCACACCCCAAGAATTGGGATTTTAGCTAGACATCATAAAAAGGTAAAAATCGTTACCAAATTGTGTTTTCATCAACTGGGTAAGATTGATATTGTCTTTACAAAGGTCTAAGATGAAGAATCTTCAACACCCACTTCCAATTTCTTAGAAATGGAAATATTCAAAGCTAAGAAAATATTGTCTTAAAAAACTCAGTTCTAAGCTCTAACTTGAAAACTGAACAATAAAATGATTGATACAAAAACTGGATTAAAAACTGCATACTAAACTAATAATTTTAAAACGTATTTATAGTCACCAAAAATGTGCTGCGAAGGACCATTCGATGCAATAAGTCGGGATCGCCGATCCGCCCTTTGGTCAATTCCATCGCCTTTTTGCTTTGGCCTTTAGCATCTTCAAGTTCTGAAACTTTGGGCGATATGGCACTGCATTGCGGAACCGTTCGGCGACTCGCCGGCTACTCCTTTCTATCGCCGACTTGACTTTCTCCTTCAGGGCTTGGCACACTAGAACATTAGGCGAGACATTAGACATTCGGCGACTCGCCCAATGGATTAGGTGATCCTCAAGACTTCTTTTCCTCGTCCTTTTAGCTGCCTTGTTTCTTTTTGCTCAATAGTGTCCATGCTTTGTTCCTCAATCCAAATACCTGAAATTCAAGGATTTACATCAGTTATTGGGACAAAATATGCATTTGAGGATACTAAATCTATTAAAATGAAGCCCTAAATGAGTCCAAATCGTGGACTCATCAACACCCCCAACTTAAACTTTTGCTTGTCCTCAAGTAAAACTCAAGTTCAGCAGTTCAAAAAAGGATGTCTCAAACAGTGCTACACAACACTCAATTATAAATGCACACAAAAAGACTCAACTTACTCATGTAAGGATCAATTGTGCACTCAAAGATTCAAGTTGTGACTCACCATTATCAAAGAATCTCAGGCTCACAATACTTGCTTCAAATGCAAGTTCAAGTTCAACAAAGGTACTCAAATGCCCTCACACAAAGAATGATTCCATATTCACACACAATGGTTCACAATTTAAAGCTCCAGAATCAAATGCAATGCTCACACTCACAAAGATGAACACAATGCATGACTTCACCCATAGGTTTTCCCGTATTTTTCAATCAACCCTTGTTTCAGCTCACTCAAGATCAAAAAAGTCTTTTCAAGGCTTGTAACGGGGCTGAGTGCAAATGTATGGTCATTTAGGCTCAATGGTTGTAATCCTCATGACATTTGGTGTGAACAACACTTTATTTCCTTTTCTTCATCATCCTCATTCGTGCTCAAAAGTACCCATTATTCACTTTCCATGGACTGTTGGAAACCCTATTTTCTTTGTATTTTCACAACTTTTTCATTCTCTTTCTTTTTCATTCTTTTCTTCTTTTTCATTCTTTTCTTCTTTTTCTCTATTCTTTTTTTATATGGAGGGGTTCCATTTTTCTCAAAACCATGGGTCAAAGGGAACTTTCTTGCACTTGTTGATTTACCTTCTCTTTCACCACAGCCCAAACTTAGGCTTTTGGCCTAAGTTGGCTATTCAAACAAACCACAAATCATGAGAATTATAGGTAATGGATCAAGAAAGGTCACAATTTTATCAAGTTTCTTCCAAGAAAAGGTTCAGGCTCAAGGGGTGCTCAAGCGGGGTTCACACACTCACAAGGTAGGCCAACAAAAGAGGTATAATGTCAAATTGTTTCACACTCTTCAAAGTTTCCTAAGATCATCTCAAGAGGTTGCCTCACTTAGTTAACGGACCAATGGGGAAAATTCTAGGTGTCATCACATATGGTTCACGGTAAGCTCATCACACAAGGCATTGACACCAATGTCAAACAAGACTCCACACTTTCGCTAGTGTGCAATGTTCATCACAAGAGACTCAATTAGATACTTGGCTAGTCACAATGAGATGCAAAGAGTTCACATATTGTCTATGCAACTTCATTTGGCCTCATTGTAGCCGCACATTCATTTTTGTTCGATTATGAGCAATATTAAAGTCATCTATATTGATCAAAACTGATGCTCAAATTTGCAAGAGAACAACCACATTTAACACAAACAAGAGGTGGCACAAATTTTTCGGAAAGGTCCAAAAATCATTTGCAATTAAAAACAAGGAGCCACAAGCTCAATTATCCACAAAAACAGTGTAACACACAATTATTGCTCAAAACCCAAATATATACATAAAACAAGAGATTCACAAAAGGTCACACAAAAGGTGGGCCTCACCCCACCACAAATAAAGTCATTTGTCCTCAAATGCAAACAAAAATAAAATATCCAAAAGTTAAAATAAAGCAAGACAGAGAGGGTAAAGAAGGATCCTGTCTACACAGTCGCTCCATTTGTCTGGGCATCAGTGCCCGGTGCATCA